TTTAACCTTTAACCTCTTGCTATTTTACCTTACCCTCACCCCCATCGTAACCTTAACCCTGTTGCTCATTCTAAACTTCCCGTTAATCGTGTTGCAGAGGGATGTAACAACTCGGAATAAAGTTTTTAGTGCGCAAGAGGTTAGGATGGGGGTGAGGGGAAAGTTAAAGAGCAAGAGAGTAAAGGTCATAATTCGGTGAAATCTGTTTTACTGCGGGAAACCGACGCGTTGGGAAACAAACGCTTGGTCACCCCGCATAATTTTTCGACGCTTCAGGCATAAGAATGTGTTGTCCATGCACTCCGTGTGGGTGAATCTTTTCAGGATAGCTGAAACTAATGTAAGTATTTAAACTATAAAAGAGGATACAAATAAACACGTATCGTATGAAAATCACTCCAAGTGAAATTTAGGATTACCATATAAGCATGATCCTTTACAGTGTTCATTATGTCCTCTTTTTAAATAATAAATTAGGTTCTTTTTGCTTCGGACGTGAAGGTGTTTTGAGTTACCTTTTACATGTTTCGACCATCGTCTGCGGTCTCCTTCAGAAGTGCCACAGGTGTTTGTGTGACGGGCGTGACTGACCCGGTGGATCGGACAGATCCAGGTTGGTCGCGCCCACCAGAAGAACAGCTGATAAAGACGCGTCACACAAACACCTGTGACACTTCTGTCGAAGACCGCAGACGACGGTCGAAACATGTAAAAGGTAACTCGAAACACCTTCACGCCCAAAGCAAAAATAACCTCGTTTATCATAAGCATGAGTTTAGGATTACACATGTGATTAATCATTTTATATTTCTTTCACCATTCAGAGGTGAGATGTTTGAAATATTGTGAATTTGAATGAGTAAGACTCCAAATCCTGCCGTTACTTCTGCTTTCTGAAACAAGAGCACCAGAGCTTTCTTTCACTAAACAATGACAGACAAGGCATCCATTTATACTACAGACCACCTGCACATGCACTGAAATAGTGAGTGTATGCCCACTTTAAAGGAAGCTAGTTTGCACACTGTGTTGTTTGTGTACTACAGCTTTAATATCAGGTTGTGGGGTTCTTTAGAAAAATGTTCTTCAGTCTATAATTATGAAAGTTTTTTTCAGTCATAGAAACAGATGTGTTGTTTTGACTAGTTTCTCCTCAAAATATGTATGGACTACTGCTGCTGAAGCCAGCCTGTAATGGAAACTTTCTGGGATGCACATCAGAGACGAGGAGAGAGCTTCTGAGCTCTTGATCAGATGGAGGATGTCAGTCACTCAGATGGGCTTGTTCCACGCTCGTGTGAAGGCAGGAAGATGTACACGTACAAACATAAACTCATGTAATCATGCGGGTGTGCTATATCAGTCAGCGGGGGATGTTTTCACACCTCATCTTGCCAAGTCCTATAATGGTACATTTATCTGTGAGCACCAATGAGTGAAACAAACATTTGGACTTCAACCAACAAAAACTCAAAAACTGAGTCTGCATGAGACACCGACGATGGGAGCCAAAGAAAAACGAAGAACACGGATTTTGGTGGTTAATGTTGCTGAAATCAACATGTGAACAATTGTCATCCTGCTTCCACTGCTGAATGGGTTATGACAGTTTAATGTCCTTCAACAGAATTATCTTAACAAATAACTCAATAAAATCCCATCAAAGCAGTAATAATGTGAAAAACAAAATGTTAATGATTCCTTTTAATAAGCAATTGTTTGCTTACAAATGTTTTGTTTGGAGCCGCTGCACTGAACTGATTAGATTTGAGGGAAATCAGATAAAAAATAAACAATCAGCGTTGGTGTTAACAGTGTTTATGTGTTTGTTTAAAGGTTCCAAATCATGTTATTTTAAACCTTTGAGAGCAAAGGTAGGCCCAATATATGATAAAACATTATCGTTAGCACTACTCAGATGTCATTTATCTTAAACACTGGTTATTTTCATCAGCCTGATTTTTTTTTTTACAGTGAAACTCCGTTCATGCCCACTCCGTCAAAATGTATTGGCTATGGTAGTCCAGTGGTAAGGGGGTCTGCCTGAGCACACTTACCACTGGACCACCAAGTCTGCTATATAACACTTGTCTGACCAGGGCAGACATGCTTCACACCAGAGACTTGCAGCAGGGCCTGATGTTGGGTGCAGGGAGATGGAGTGACACACAACTTATACATTAAATTTCAGGAATTTCAAAATAAAATTCTAAATTTTCAGCTAAAATAGGTTTGGAGGGTATTTTTCTTGAGGAAACAACAGTATTACATGCTAAAAAAAAACAAAAAACAACAAAAAAAAGCTTTAAAAAATGGATTTTCCATGATAAATACATTTGGGTCAATTTGACAGGTTAGCTTTAGAAAAAAGCGGTGCTTTTAAAACAATTACCTTGTGGGTTTTTTTTTCTACTATTGCATTGCTGTTATTTTGGGACTTTATGATGTCAGGACTGTAGACATACGTGTTGTTTTATTGGTCTCAAAGCCACACATTATGTGACAGTTGCAGGTAATTGTAGCACTTCAAAGCCCTTCAGGAAACCTGCAGACATTGTTCCTGTTACCATAGGTTACTATCTGCTTTGTGGCTATTAATAGGCAATGATAAGAGAGAATTACAGTGCAGACTTGTCAGGGTAACACAGTAAAGTTACATCACTTCTGAAACTTGATTGTGTGCAAATGATTCTCTTCTCGGTTCTGCCTAACAGACAGGCTACAGTCATCAAATTCAGCCTTATTTGGTTTATAAGTTACAGTGGGTTTATGTGAAACGGTGTTCTCTCTTTGTCTGGCTCCTATTTCTCTCTTTTCATTTCATTTTTTTTTTTTTTGCATCTTTCTCAGCAACTTTGTAAACTAAGTCTTCCAAAACTTCTTTAAATTTAAACTGCAGCTCAATCCTTTATGGATTTAACACCAAAATGCGTTTGCTAATTCACGCACCATTATTTTTAGCCTGGAATATTCTCGGAGAAGGGCTGCAAATGGAGGAAAGTATGTTTAATTCATGTGGCATGGACCAATTTGAAATTAATTGGTAAGCAATTTGTGGTAATGAATGGGGAGCCATTGCTGAACGCAGTGTCCAGCTCTCTGAGTGCAAGCGGCGATCAGGATGTTCACCATCCTCGGGTTGATGCGAGAGCGTTTGGATTAAAACGAGACAGCGGGAAGCCGTCAGCTGTTTCCTGTGATTCCCAGCCAGCTCAGTGGAGACTTCCTCTACATGCAGCTGCTGCTGGCAGCATGACATTCCTAGTTTACAACTGATCTAAAGGATAAAATAAATAAATGCAAGGGGCGGATTTATCTACAGAGACAGGGATAAATTACAATCCCTTGTCGCAGTAGAATGTATTAATTCTGCCGCACGTCTGCTCTTTAAATAACTCAAATTGATTGTTTAATTAAGTAGTGCTGCACCTGGCAACACGGGCATGCGTGTAATCACATTCCTGTTTTGCAGGTACAGCATGTAGCCTTTGTCGAGGCCGGCTGTGCACAAATACCAAGCTGAGAGTGGCTGTTGAACTTTGGAAATGTCAGCCGTTGCTCCTCACACAGAGTACTATCAGTTCAATGCAGAATGGCTCCCCATCCTGCCTCCCTGCTCACCTCAAAACTTTCCCTGCCCCACGAGTGACCTGCTGAAATCTTTTTGAAGACATCTTCTGGAGAAGCTCAGAGGATGCAGGCGCCTCAGTTCAAATGTGGAGCATTCTTCTTTCAAAAATCACTTCTGAACAGGCGTGACCAGCAGCTCAGACAGGGCATGCAGAGCGAGGCCACGGTGCTGCTGTCAGTAGCGTGCAGAGGCTGCAGCCCTCTCTATAATGTAATGCAACAGAGCAGACGCGTAATAAATAGTTAAACGTTTAGCTCTGACTGAATCCGAGAGATTTTGCATTAAACATGGCTGTTGTGGCGTGGCCGGAGCTGTCCGCGGTGTCGTGGCATAATCAAAATTAGCAAACATATACAGCTGCAGTCCACCCTTGCTCATAAATCCTGCTGCAAAATAAAGCTTTAACTCCCAATCCCATTACTGTTTTTCCTCCAGAGCTTCCCTTATAACACACCTCAAAGCATTTCACATCCCTGACTCTTCCCCAGTGGAGTCTTTCATCAAAGAGTTTACAGTTTGTGCTGCATGATGAGCCTTCCTGTTGTTTACATGTTGCAGCGCGCTTCACTGAGAGGCAGAGTGTGCGATTATTACCCCCAAGGCCTTTTTTCCCAAACTGACACTTCTATGGAAAGCAAAATAACACTTGAACAGTATGCTAACATTGCTCTGTTCCGATGGATGCGCGGCTAAAGTCCATTAAAGGTCTTTAGCATCATTTGCTGTTTCTTGGTTATGTTTGATCTTTTTTTTTATACCAAAAATAACATTGCACCAGTAGCTTTACTGAACCACATGAAAGAAGACATTTTCTTTCTAATTGGAGCTGAAGTGACACCTTTTTTTGTCCTCTACGTGTATAATTGAACTCTCTTTTCCACCACTCATTCAGAGCAAAACTCCCATTCACTCCCCAATGATGATTACTCCTCCTTCCACAGATGAACTCCCAGCAAACTGCAGTTGTTGACCCCTGACCTTCCCTCATACCCAGCAGCTTTCCAAATAAAATAATGTTATCGTCTGTCTCCTCTCAAACCCTTTGCCATTATTTTCTCTGATGACACAGTCTCCAGGGGGGGATTTGGGCGGCGCTTTAGTGCCCTCATGTGTTCGTTCCGGTTTACTTGCTTTTATGTGAGTAAATGTGAGTGTGCAAATCAGCAAATAAAAAAAAATGAAAATCTCCACCAAAGGTTTGCTGAGAGGGGAGAAAAACAGTCAGGAAACTTCTCGTTCTCAAATTTTAATGTGTTTGTGTTTTTGTACGTGTGTGTATTTGATACCCAATTTATAAACAATGTGTCACAAAAAACCTTCTGTGTTGATGTTGCTGACTTTGAACAATGTTTTCGTCTCTTGTTTGCAGGAAGTGCTTTGAACCTGACGTGTCGAGCGTTTTTTGGCTACAGCGGCGACGTCAGCCCGCTCATCTACTGGATGAAGGGGGAGAAGTTTATCGAGGACCTGGATGAAGAGAGAGTCCAGGAGAGCGATATTAAGTAAGAACCCTGCAGCAGGAAACGAGGGTTTAATGGCCAGTCTGGATGAATTTACCACAAAGTATTAAAATGACTATTTGAATGGCTTTGCATGCTTTAGTCCATTAACTCTAAATAGGATGAAATAACCAAACTGCTCTGTAAGATTTGGCTCCACAGGCTGCTTTTAGATGCATTTTTTGTATTATTTAAACACACTAGACTTACTTTCAGTTATTTTACATAAATGTTGCTGGTTTTTATGTCTACATTTCAAAATTTACCTTTAAAATTTGATGAAAAACAGAAATTCCCCTTAACATGAAGGCATGGGTCTAAATGCATTTTTCTATTTCAAAAAATTAAAATTTTCTAATTGAATAACTTATTTGTTATCATTTACTTTTGACTTTACAATGCAAATGAGTCAGTGGTATTTTTCTGCAAGCTGCTGTGCTTCATGACATTGGGACAGCATCTTTAGGCTGCAGCCACAGAAACAGCACTACAGACGTTAGCTCATGGTTCCCACAGAAATCTTCAGTAAAACTGTGATACAACTACAGAATGAAATCGATTTCATAAGTAGTGAAGTCATTTAGAAATGCAGCTCTTCTGAAGTTTGCACAGCTGTTAAATAATTAAATATTTCATTTGATTTCATTTTATTTGCAATTTGATCCCCAACTCCTCCCCAAAGGTGGAGTTTTTTGTATTTTTTGATTTGCAGAATTTAAACTAAGATGGGACTGAGGTGAGTTTGCAATGTGCACAACAGATCTCCAGCTACATTAAGAGAAGATTAGTCATGCATGTTAAGTCCCGTAGTCATCGTCACACACTGGTGAAATTACATCTCTGCATTTAACCCATCCCCGTGGGGAGCGGGGAGCTGCAGCAGTGGCTGCACTCGGGAACTATTTGGTGGTTCAGCAGGGAGGCATTTTTTAACTCTTTACTAAAATCCGACTGTGGATTTGAACCCCGATCTCCTGGTATAACAATTTGTTATAGGATGGCTTACAGCTTATGAAAACCCCAAAGTCAAAATCTCAGACAATTACAATATTGTTCAAATGTTCAATATTCTCAAGTGTCACACTCTAACCAACTAATTCATTCAAAACTCTTGCAAAGGGTTCCTGAGCCTTTAGATGGTCTCTCAGTCTAAGCTGACATAAATTGACTTTTACATCATGTTCTAATTTTTGGAGTTTCATCTGTAATTCTCACAAGAAGAGTGCAAAGATAAACAACATTTGAGACATTTTGGAAACTCGTTTGACTGGCCGCAACCCACTAAAGCCCCTTCCACACTGGGGCCGACTCCACTCCACGCAGTCAGCCCCAGCCTGGCCGGGCTGAGGCGGGCCTCCACACATCCTTGGGAATGCGGACGTAACTGAGCATATGGGCGCTCTCCGAAATTGGTTGCGTGGAATATCAGTGACATCATGAGAGCATCATTGAGCATTTGGGCTGGGCAAAAGACGCACAGCTGCGGTGTCTCCCTTAAATAAACAAAGGAGGCCGTGAGCAGTGTCGGTTTTGGAGACTCTGATACCGCAGACTGCTGTTTCTGTCCTCGCACTGGCTGCTCAAGCCTGTCAGCGCTGTGTGTGTGTGTGTGTGTGTGTGTGTGTGTGTGTGTGTGTGTGTGTGTGTGTGTGTGTGTGTGTGTGTGTGTGTGTGTGTGTGTGTGTGTGTGTGTGTGTGTGTGTGTGTGTGTGGTGTGTGTGTGTGTGTGTGTGTGTGTGTGTGTGTGTGTGTGTGTGTGTGTGTGTGTGTGTGTGTGTGTGTGTGCGTGTGTGTGCATGCTCCTCAGACAGAGATGGATTCAGTCAGCAGAGATGTTTCCTCTTCACTATAGAGAAAGATAATGAATTGTGCATGAGGGAAGCCCCCGCTGGCTGATTCCATCTGCCAATCAGAGGCTCCCCCTAACATCAGGTGTGAATTTGAGCCAGCCATTCAGTTGGCAGTGGGTGTGTTGGACTAGTTCAACCCAAAGCACACCACCTTTGTAAGAGGGTTGAAAAAACGACCGGTTGCACGCAAAAAAATATCCAGGCTATGCAAATGTGAACCCTTGCTACCCTATCTAGTCGGAGTGGAGCCAGCACTAGTGCAGAAGCCCTATTGAGGTTCACTTCCTATTGATGCACTGGCAGGTGGATTTAATATTGTAGTTAGCTATAATATGTGTGCAAAAAAAAATCACAAAACCCAAATGAGTAGGCATCAGAAATGCTGGATGATGATGGAAACACAGGAAAAGGCCTGCCACTTTTTAAAGACACAACTTTAACTCCACACAGAGTTTATTAGGTAAAAACTAAACCAAAATCATCTTTTGGTTTAGATACATCTTATCTGACTTGCACCTCTCTGTCCCATCAGCAACAATCTCTACGACGGGGACTCTCTGTGTTTTTCTGCATCACAGCAGGATGCAGAGTTGCTGTTTTACACTCCTCACCATACCTGCAGAGTCCTGCATCTCTGAAGATAGTGCTGATCCCATTTTAAAAAAAAACACACGTTTGGACTTGCCTTCCATGTAAAGTTTCCTCCTGTGAGTGTAACTTTTAGACATTTGAAACAAGCCTAACTTTACATCCATCTCTGCTGTTGGTGTGGGATATTTAAACAAATCCATTCTCTAGTCTGTGTGCACGTCTCCAATAGGGCTGTTTGGAGAGGGTGCAGCTCTGGGAGACCAGCCTGTCAGATGGTTAACAACTGCCATTTTTTACACCACCAGCACTATTTGCTACCTCGCTCTCTCTGCATCCACCTATTGCTGCATGCAGATGGGCTGTAAGGATTCGAGGAGGAGGAAAGGAATGAAAAGTGAAGAAATATGTTGTGATAATGAGTTATCTTGTGCGCAGATTTGAACATACAGCAGGAACTAATGTCAGTTTGAACAGCACCTTTGGTTTCTCTCTTCCTCTGACACAAGATGTTCATCCCGCTCAAAGGATGAGGGGCTCTTCTGTTCAATAATTCATCACCATACTTCATGCAGAGGATCAATAATATATTCGATCATCCAGCCACTGTTGGAGATGCTGATACCCGCATGTCCTAGCTCCTGCTCTGGGCTTTTCTTCCATAAACGGAGATGGAAAGAGAAGGAGAGTAACTTCCACGAGTTCTGGTTCTGCCTCTTTAAGATGAAATCCTGCATGTTTCTGGGAGTTACCTCTCACCTACGCAGGGTTAGCTTTTCTAAATGTGTCAGCAGCCAAAACTTGAGCTTGCACCGTGAGCTCGGAGCTTCTGCAAGCACTTATTTACCCAACTCAGCCTATTGATTTCGGAGGAGTTCATTTCTATGGTAACCTGAGCCTATAAATTCTCATTTGTGCCACCGGGACAGGGCTGCCTCCGTTCCCCCTGCATGGATGGCTGGACATTAGCATAGCATGCAGAGATTAATAAATTAGCAAAACAAATCTGAGCTCAGCATAATGAAGTAGGTGATCAATGTGTTATTGACCCAGTTCACTTGGTGTTTTGCAAGTATATGTGAGGGAATGAAAGGAATGAATAAGGTGGGAATTGATCCTGAAATGAGCAAACACAGGTTTTGCTAATGATAAAGACGGAGGATGCGTAGGGAAAAGTGCCTGCAGCAGCCATTGGTTGATAACAAGTTTGCAAAAGATCCAAATCATCTCGGTTTGAAGCTCAGGTGGTCATTTTCCTCCAATGTATGTGGCAGCAAGCTGTTTAGGCTTGCATCTTGTGATTATGTGAAATGAGAGGCTTCAAAGTGCGCACCACTCCCTGGAGAGACATGAATTATTCTCATGCCTTCATCTCTCTCCGCCCCACCCTGCCCCACCCCCACCTCTCCCACCCCGCTGCACAACAACTTCAAAATCAACAGAACTGCCGCAACACACATTCAATTACCAAAGCCAAATCTCTCCAACAAGCCGCCCTCATGTGCAGTTTATAGGCTCGCAGGCGAGAGAAGTGAGATGCTCGAGTGTCATTATCCCACCTACACACTCGAGCAAACACTCTGCCCTCATCGCACTCCTCCTTCTCATCGCCACAGACAACAACACACACAAGAAGATCGTCTTCCTAGTTGTTTCCTTCGTAGCGTCACCCGTGATGCGGGTGCTGAGAAAGTAGGCTAAGTAGTGTGAGTATGAGGTACGAAGGAGCGTCTCCCTGCTCTCTCCTCCATCAGGCTCAACCAGCCCAGCGGGGGACACTCGTTTACTTTATAGAATATTACTTCCTCTCCTTTTTGCCGTTACCATGGCAGCAGCTATAAAAAGACTTCTTCTCATAAACATTACTTGATTCCACACCCCACTCCACCCCACACACACAAGCTGAGGAAGATCACTGCTGATTTTCATTCCCTGTGTTTTAATGCAGAGAAAGAAATTAACATTCAGTGAATGTAAAAAAACTGGTTCTATTAATTGTTTTTTAAAAGGTGAAAATAAACTTTGAGTTTTGTTTCACAGGCTTGTCAGGGAGCATCTTGGAGAGCAAGAAGTGATGATTTCCTTGACGATTGACTCCTTGGAGGAAGAGGACCTGGGGAATTATTCCTGTTATGTGGAAAATGGGAACGGCCGTCGCCAAGCCACCGTCCAGATTTTCAGGCGGGGTAAGAACTTCTACTTGAATCTTGAAGATCAAGTTCAACCTTTTTTTTTTTTACCCGTTATGTTTTACATTTATAAAGTTTACCATGCAGGATGAATGTGACAATTGTCTTCTTCCCCTGTTTCCCACATTAGCTGCAGATAGGAAATAGACGAGGAAATGATCGGGTCAGAAAAAGCCAGTCCCTTCTAGGAAACAGGGAAATATTCTTGGACTCACCCATCTTGGCTCACGACCAGGAAAGACTGTTGTTGGTTTAGCATCCAGAAGCTTGTAAAAGCTAACAGCTAGCATTAGCAACTCCAGCACACAGTAGAACTCATCCAGGATTGTGTTATCTGTGGAGATCAAAATTGCAGAGCAAATGGAGTCAGTGGTAGAGATGTGTTACTGTTCGCCAATCAGAGGAGAGATGTTCGAATACAATCCTGCTGTTTTCTGCCCCCCCCCCCCCCCCCCCCCACTCCTCTGACTAACTTTTATTACCTGAAACAAGAGCGCCAGAGATCGACTCACAAGGCATTAATCTAAACTAGAGACCACTGCAAATAACCATCTCTTTGTTTGTAATAGAAAGATGCAAAGATAAAAGGTGGTTACAACTAACCTACACATCCCAGCTTCTGATTGGTCATTAGGGTTTTCAGGAATACTGTGTTTATATTTTCTGAGACATTTTGGCTCTGAGGAGTCAGAGACAGCAGCGATAAGAAGCTTTGGGTTCAGGACGGCCAAAAGGTTTAAGGATGATACAAGTTTGCTTCGTCAGTGTTTTCAGATCTTTTTATCAGATGTTTCCATGGTTACTGAAGTATAATTACAATCATAATCTTTAATGGATTTTGTTTCAAATAGGTTCACACAAAGATTCAATATTTTTCTAGTATTTGGCTCTTCTTTTTCAAGACCTTTACTGTCAGTCAGCTTTTGGACCAAATCATCGTTGACAGCAGCCCATTGTTGCATAATTAAGGCTTTGGATTTGTCAGAGCTTCGGGGTTTTTCTTTGTCCGCCTTCCTCTTGAAAAAAGATCACAAGTTCTCAGTGAGATGAAGATACGAGGAGATTTCTGAATGAACCCAAAGTTTGGATGTTTTTGCTTCCTGAGCCACTTGGATCAGATTTAACCTCTTGGCTTCTCTATGATTGGGAAGACATTGTTCATCACCAAAATGTTCTTGGATGGTTGAGAGGAGTTCATCTGGGAGGCTGGGGTTAGGAATTGTTCCTCCTCTCGAGTTTATTCAAGACTCAACATCATTCTTTAGTTTTAACATTTACTGCAGACAAATGCTCCGAATACCCAAAATACCATCAGAACAAAGAAAAGGAACACAAACTTTAATTAGCTCACAAATGTATTGTACATTGGCATAAACAACACACGAAACCCAAAACTGTACCTCATTGGCCGCTTTGACTTAAACGGAGTAAAGATGATTTTACAGCTTCTTTCAAAACAACAAAAAAACACTTATTTTATCTTCAGGAAAAAACCTCTCTTCATCGTCTCCTGCTCAAATGCACCTCAGGCCATGGGCGTGTCTCAATGTCAAGTTGCTTACAAGGACACTGTCCTTCCTTGGTCAAAGAAAACAGTTAAATGGAACAGACTTGTGTCACGTGTCACGTAATGTCATGTTATTTCCATGGAAATAATGTTATATTTTATACGTACAAGTTTCAATGTAAACATATAACAAGCTTTTACATTTTAACCCTCTGGAGGCAGGTGCAGATTTGCAACGTTAAAACCTACCTACCTGGTTACTCCACATAGGTATTTCATGAGCATTTTTTAATTCGGAAGAACCCCTGAAGGACTTAGTTCTTCCCCCTTTTATCAAAACTTATTTTGAGCCTGAGAGGGTTAAAGTGTGTATATACTATGTGTTAGATTCAATATGTAAGCTAGTTACTACCCTCTAGCATCTAACCAACAATAGATAACTTCTTTGGATCTAAAATAACACATTTTAAATTAGCTGACTTACTTTTAAACCTAAAAAATTGTCCCCGAAATAGCTGCCGGCGTCTGACCCACCATCCTTTTTAAAATACTGCTGTGCATTCTGGGTAATTTTTGACCAAGTCTACAAGACGCCTCCCGTTCCTCCTTGCTCAGCTAGCTAAATGGCTAACAAACGAAGAACAGACACCTCGGTAGAACATGAACATTGGAACACGTCTTGGCGGTTCCTGATGATGTATATCCCAGGCAACAGCCCCGCCCCGGTTACCTAGGAGATACGGGAGGTGTCTTCTAGCCTTGGTCAAAATTTACCCAGAACACACCGCGGTATTTTCAAAAGGATGACGGATCAGGAGCCGGCAGCAACTTTGGGGGCAAATTTCAGGTTTAAAAGTAAGTCAACTAATTTCAAATGTTTTTTTTTTTTGATCCACAGAAGTTATCTATTGTTTGTTAGTTACTCATTAGTTGCAGCTTTGGTGGCTAGTGGGTAGTAACTCACTTAAGTATTTAATTTAACAAATATTTACAAAATTTTAAACATAAAAGGCTCACTATATATTTATATTGAAACTAATACGTATAAAATATGACGTCTCCCATGTCACGTGACATTACGTGACTGCCGTGGAAGCCGCGGTCACGTGATGTAAGTCTGTTCCATTTAACCGTTTATTTATTTATTTTTTTGACCAAGGAAGGACAGTGTCCTCGTAAGCAAGGCGCCTGGCTTCGCAAAACATTGCCTCGCAAGGCCAGGCGCCTTGACATTGAGAAACACCCCCCCAAGTGACTCTGTAATTGTGTTTCAATTAAATTCACCCCACCAGCAACAGTGCAATATGTGGAACAAAGGATAAGTTCCTCTTGTGTTTTAACCTAAATAAATTAACTTCATTTAAATGAATAAAACTGACATAACTAATTTATTATTGTACTATTTTAATGCATTATTAATATTTATTAATTTCTATTTTAAATAAATCTTAACTAATAAAAATGAATGAGAGTTTCTGCTGATGGCAGCTACAAAAATGCTTTACTGTTGGCAGGAAATTGTTTTTACAGATGTTCCGGATAGATGAGAAACGTGGCTTCCTTGCTGCTCTTCTTGACTCCAGTCTATGCACTAAAGGTTTCCTCCTTGTCTTACAGATGTTCTCACACCTGCTTGACCCGATCCCACCACTGGATCACTGTTAGGAAACAGTTCTGTTGCTTACTGGACTTTCTCAGGGGTCCTGATCACACAGATTTTTAAAGTGGTGGCTAACCCTTGAACAAACACACACCTTAAACACACACCCCTCTCTAGCAGAAAACACACGCTGTGTCCTGTGTGTTACTTTTTTACACTTTTACCCAAACTTTGTTCCATTTGTCTCTTGTCGTGTTTGCATCAGCAGCTTTGTAGCTACTCCTCCTGCTCAACTTCTCTGAAGCTCTTTTCATGCGCTAGCTGTCACCCCAGAAGAGAGGTAATTTGATGGCTGTTTAAACAGCAAATTGGTCTTCAGCTTTTCCCAACAGGCCAATACATCCAGCATACAATTACATTTTAAGTCCTTATACGTCTGTTTCCCCGCTTTAATCTCCCTCTCTGTGATCGTCCTTTATAGACACCCCAGTTCCATTTGAGCGGTCTTTGCAGACAGCTTCGTTTAACTCTCTTTGTCAAAGCGGAGCGATGCTAAGTTGAGCTCTCTCTGTCTCTCTCATCCACATCTGATGCTTATTTCATGTTTGTCTTCAAAGAGTGCATCGCTCGTAGGTCTAATGTCACTGCAGGCGCCTTCCCTTGTATCTCAAAGAAAATGGAGAATGGGGAGAAGAGCATCGGTCAGTGAAAACATAAACAACTTAAGATGTGAAGATGATTGCTAATAATCAGCAAGCAGCATTCAAGTTCATGCGTGGGGAAAGAAAGCCAATTCTAAGCAGTGTTGCTGTTTTTCTATTAGCTTATACAACAACATCAAAGACAAAACACCAACAGAGCAGGAAATGATTGGAGTTTTGTTTGTGTTTTACGTATTTTTCTAAAAGTGGTTCTCAAACCCCTGAAGTTGGTTTATTCCCAATGTTACCTCATGGCTGGATAGAGAACTGAGCTGAATCCCTTTTATATGTAAGTTTTGTTACTTGTTTCTTCATTTTAAAGACAAATGTGTGGAAACGTGCTCTCTTCTAGTCTAGGCACAATTAATATTGTTTTTATAATCAGTTCAGTGTATCACATTTCATGTCATGGTCAGTTTTATTCTTTTATATGAGCGCAGAGTCTGTAGTAGAGCTCAGACACACCATCCCATCTAAATCCCACTGAGGCTTAAATGCTGGAGTCCAGTTGGAAGCAAGATTGCAAGATTGGGTACATCTGACTATTTTTAAACTGATTTTATTTATAAAAAAGGTCACCTGGAGCACATAATGAGACCTCAAACCGTTTGCAACATTTCCTGTTTGCATTTGTTAATGAAGCGCTTTCATTTTGTCCCCATGAGTTTGCAATTTGGCCTCTAGCCACTCCCAAAGTTGTCTCACATTAAATAAATTCAGAAGGACAAAATATGGAAAACTGAATTATCTGAAAGGAAACGGTTGAAAAATTAGGAAAGTTGTGATTCCAAAAACTTTTATTGGAGCGGTTCGCAGCCGAGTGTGAAGCAGCTGAGTTGAGAATCAGCTTCTTTAGACTATGGTCTTGAGTCGGAAAAGGATAGAATGCTTTCTCCGGGTCAGGGATGAGGTCCTGCCCCAAGTGGAGGAGTTTAAGTTTCTCTGGATCTTTTTCATGAGTGAGGAAAGGATGGAGCGCAAGGTCGATAGGTGGATTGGTGCTGCATCTGCAGTGATGCGGGCGTTCTACCGGTCTGTCGTGGTGAAGAGAGAGCTGAGCTGGAAGACGAAGCTCTAGGTTTACAGATCAATCTACATTCCTAACCTCACCTATGGTCACGAGCTTTGGGAAGTGACCAAAAGAACGAGGTTACGAATACAAGTGGCCAAAATTAGTGTATTCCGCAGAGTGTGCTCTCCCTTAGAGATAGGGTGAGCCGCTCCGTCATCCGGGAGGGGCTGGGTGTAGACCCGCTGTTCCTTCACATCGACAGGAGTCAGTTGAAGTGGCTCAGGCATCTAGTTAGGACGCCTCCTGGAAGCCTCCCTGGTGAAGTTTTCCGGGCACGTCCAACCTGAAGGAGACCTAAAGGAAGACCCAAGACACGCTGAAGGAAGTGTTTTTGTTTCTCGGTTGGCCAGGAAACGCCTTGGAATTTTCCTGGAGGAGCTGTCTCAAGTGGCTGGAGAGAGGGAAGTCTTAGGCTGCTGCCCCCGCGGCCCGACCCCGGATAAGTGTCTGAAAATGAATGGATGGATTCCAGAAACATGCATGGGAGCAAAGTGAGAACGCTTCAACAGCATCTTCTTGTATTCTCTCTCTTACCTTTTGTACCGTGGAAAGGTTTGCTGAGCAAATGAGAAACTTTATGGCAAAATTTCAACCCAAACTGCGATATTGCATTTGTAATTATACACTTGGCCTGGCCGTAAATAAAAGTGCTTGTAAAGATAAAGTAGCAACCAAAATAAGTGTGCTTCCACTAAGTCCAAAATTTAATTAACAGTCTTGGATTTTTTTTAACAAATAACTTTTAAAAAAGAGGTTCTGTTGCTTGACAAACTTGTGAGGATGTGTGCCTTTGCTCTGCCTTTGATAATTTAGAGACAGCATTACAGTTGCCATGGCAGCCATGCATTGTTAAAGCCCACGGTGTGACAGAGATAAAAGGTGAGCGTGTTCTAGCTGAGCCAACCAGGTAAACGCTGCTTTAATACACATCATAACTCATCCCCGAGCCGAGCCCCAGGGGAGATGTGGAGGCGATAATAGAGAAGAGAAATGAACTGAGAAAGGGAGGGAAACGCAGATGGGGAACGAGTGACAGAAAGATGAGTAATCCAAAAAACCCGTTGTTTTGAAAATGCCGCCATCCATGTCAGGAATTGTTACGATCCGACTGCGGATGACAGCCGGAGTGCAGAGCTGTGTCATTGCTGCGCTTCGCCAAAGAAATGAACCTCATTTCTCTGTTTTTTTCTCTCCTGGTGTCTCTTTGTAATGCGTTCTCTCATTTTTCTGAAACTTATTACGAGCCTATCGTCTCTGAAGATTGATTCTGCACTGCTCTGCTTTGAGCCGAGCGCTGAAAAAGTCTGAAAACTGTCCAGAAAATGTAAATGTCTCCTTTTAAATGTCAGGAAAAGCTTTAAGCAAAGACTTTGGGTCTCGCGCTGTGCAGAAACATGAATGTGGCTGAAGCCATGACTGTGTCAGCTGTTTTCTTGTATATTTTCTTACGTTTTGGTCTGTGTGTTGTCCTCAGCAGAGCTCATGTACACAGTGGAGCTGGCAGGCGGGCTGGGAGCGATCCTGCTGCTGCTCATCTTCCTCATCTCCCTCTACAAATGCTACAAGATTGAGCTGATGCTTTTCTACAGGAGGCACTTTGGCAGCGAGGATGTGGATGGAGGTAAGGGTGACCCAGAGAATGTTCAAAATAATCAGCATCTCTGCACTTTTCAAAAAGCGACAAGCCTAGCTTTGTGCTCAGATTTAATTGTGTTCTTTATGTAAACGCTCAGGGTCTGTTTCTCCTCTCTGTGCATGTAATTGTGCCTGTTTATGCTGCCATGACTGCACTGAGGGAGAAGGGTGAAGGATTTTCAATTTGTTGCCCATTTAAAAATAGATTTGTCTCAATATGTCAGGGAGGGATGCTGGCTTTATGCTGACGAAGGACCAGGTAGTGGTACGCTGGGGCTGGACGGGCCCAAAGCACCCTCTCTGAGTGACAAATAGCAGGAAAACTCAGCCTGAAATTGGAGGCAGTGACTTGTTTTCCCCACAACAACACAGTTAACTTTCCTTGAGTTACCCTGCTGTCTGTTTATGTCCCAGAATCTTCCCTTTGTGCTTTTGACTCCTGCTTTCTTTTCACAAACTCTGAAAAGAAGGAGCTCATGGCTTTCTTTCTTTTCTTTTTTTTTCTCCAGTAGCATGAGTTATCTATTACACGCAGTTTTGTTGACTCAAACTTCCACATGATTAAGTCATACTGTCAGGGATGGCTGATACAAGCTGTTTTCGATTTTCCAGCTTTGCTAGGTGCTTAATTTGCGTTGCTGGTTGCTAATTTGAAAGCACTGTTTGATGTTCGGATCCAATCGAGCGCAGCTCTGGCCTTTCCAGGGAGTTTCAAAGCTGCGTGTGGTTCTCAGAGATTTTTTGAAAAAGCTTCTCTTCCCTTTCTGGCTGGCCCACATTCAAGTCTCCACTGAGAATAATGACTAGGACTTGCTGAAAAAGTCACCATACTGGGGTTTTTTTCCGTCTGCGTTTTTAGCTCTCGCTGTCTGCTGAGAAATCATTTTGAGGTGTTGTTTGAGTCTTGATTTGAGTGTGTTTGTATCTAACCCATTTTATTTCTGACAGACTCCATCTCCTAATGAAGCTGACAAGCCCAAGACTGTTTTGTGTGTACTTTGGTATTTGTTAAGCCATTCTGTTATATATAACAGAAATAAAAAGCTTTTTTTTGTTTTTATAAGTATATCGCTTTGCTTCGTTTAGGCTGTGCCTGGACAGCTTTGGGATTACAGACTGCAGAAGTCTCATCTCTTAAAACCAGCATCCAATTCTGCATTAAATCATTGCAAAAAATGTTTTCTTTTTCATTCCATTCATTAAAAATGTATTTATTTATAAAGAACCTTCGTAGCACCAGTCAAGCCCAGGTTGCTGAACACAACACAATAAGCTCATGTAAACACAACATAGGAATAAAGAAAAACGCATTAAGGTGAATATTAAATAAAATTGAATAGAATAAACTGAAGCACCCCCGTTCTAAGTAGAAAACCAAGTAATGCTCAAAACATCAAAAATGAAAAGACTACGAATCACTTCAAGGGAAACTAGGTAGTTTTGGTTACAACCGAAACCAAAACCAATCTCGTCGCTGTGCGTTCGTCTTTTTAACATCTTAATCTAACAGCTGAAACGTCTCCCAAATTTCTTCCAGTCTTCATTAGTGTCTACAGGAGCGATTCATCTCTAAATTGAACAAATCAGCTGTGTTCATTATCTAAAACATGCAGGAAGTGTGCTGGAACCAGACTGCAGCACCAGGTATGTAAGCTCAAATTTTTTTCTAAGTGCAACAGACCGGACCGGCAACTGTGAAGCTGCAAATGGGATATTCTGGCCACAGAGGGCGATAGGGGCTGGGTGGTCTTTCATTAACCCTACAAAGGGTCATTTTAGCTCATACTGGTTCAAGAAAAGGATTTTAAAAGAACAAAATGAGCCAGCATTAAAACATTAAGAGCAACTGTACCCATCATGCCACTATCAAAGCATTGTAAAAGTAAAAGTCATCTAAGAGATAGAAAGAGACCTTAAGTGTTGCTTCAGTTGGGCTATAGAACCCCAAAGGGAGGTTGATTTTTTAATGTCATTTGAGAAGCGGTCTCCACAGTTTTGGGGCCATCACGGCAAAAGCTCAATCCCCAAGACATTTGGCCTAGGTTCGCATTGCAATCATAAGCAGAGCCAAATGGTCGAGATGGATCTCTCAAGGAGTACCAACAAGGTGGAGCTGTGTTTGCAAGCCACTGGAACACCAAAACCAGAACTTTTAACTCAGTATCGTACTTTACATGTAGCCACTGCATTGCAAGCAGGGAAAGTGATGTATGCTCCCAAATGTGCTACCAAAAATGAACCTCGCTGCAGCCTTTTGCACCGTCTGGAGTCTGGCCAGTGCTGACTGATTCAGTTGGTACACAGGGAATTGCAAGTCAAGCCTAGACATTACAAAAGCACATATCACAATTTCCAAGTTTGACTTTATCCTAGAGAGGAGCCGGAGCTGGAGCTAGAAAAAAACAAGATCTAACCACTGCATTCACCTGGAAGTCGAGTGACAGGATGGAGTGAAAAAATTTGAAGCCATCCATATTGATGCCTCGTCCAAACACTTCACCAAAGGCTGAAGCATACTCAATGACCCCTGCTTTACTGGTCAATAAATATGGCAGTCATTGTGTGTAAATGTAATCTAATGTTGTGCCTTCAAAAGAACTTTTTCAGGGGGATTAATAGATGAAAAATAGCAGAGGGCCCAGAACAGATCCCTGAGGAATGCCCAATTTTAGTAAAGTATCATCTGATTCATCCACCCATTGACACACTAAAGGTTCTGTCCGAGAGGTAGGACATCAGGGGGAACAACAGGATCTGGTGATCAACAGGTTAAATGGCCGCCAGGTCCATAAATAACAGCACTGCATCCCCGGCAACCGTTGTTAACAGCGTGTCATTCAGGACATTTAACAGTCTCTGTACCATGCCCAGCTCGAGACCCAGACTGTAGGGGTTCCGGGACATCGTTATCATCCAAGAAGGATGGCAGTTGTTCACCGCATCAAACACCACTTGTGCTGGGAAGTAAAATTTAAAATCTTTGCTGTTTTAATCATTAGCATTTTTATGAAAGTACTCATCTACAGGATAGTTGGTAAAAAAAAAAAAAGTTTTATCTATTTGACATTTTGTCCAAAACCACATTTAAAGAAAATAGTTTCTTAGACTTTCCAAGTCATTATTTCAAAAGTCCAACCTTTTTCAGCAGTTGCACCTTAATGAGGTGCTGAGATGTCCTCATATGATTCTAGTGATAGTATTTTATGGTAAAAATGATACACCCTGTATTTGTATAGTGCCTTCTTGGGGTTCTACAACTCCCCAAGGCACTTCACAACACAATCAGTCATTCACTCATTCATACACACATTCACACACTGGTGCTGAAGAGCTACAGTGTAGCTACAGCTGCCCTGGGGCGTACTGACAGAGGCGAGGCCTGCCAAACACAGGCGCCACCAGTCTCTCCAACCACCACCAGCAGGTAAGGCATTCTCTGGTGGGAGCCGGGATCGAACCTGCAACCTTTCAAATACTGGACTACCTCCTGAGCTACCGCTGTGTTAAAATGTTAGTATTTACTCTAAGGATGTCCGATATTATTGAATAATCATTATTATCGGCCAATGTTGGCATTTAAATATAATATTGCAAATTATTGGGATGTGTTTTTTTCTCTTTTCATAACAACTTTAACTTACCAATCACACATTATACATCAAACTGCTGCTACTTCTATCACTCAAATATGGCAAATCCAGTGTTGAGTCTTTTAGATTTTTTGGTTTATCTGGCCAAACTGAATTTAAAGTAGTTGTCGTACTTTCACAAATGTTTAAAACATTTTCCACATTTGTACGGGGGGTGGGGGGTGGGGGGGTGGGGGGGGGGGGCTGCAAATAATGGTATTGGTTTATCAAAATTGAAAATTAAGAGTTAGATTATATCAGTTTATCGGATATTGCTGAAAAGGAAAAAAGCTTTTATTGAACATCTCTAATTTATGATGCCATCATCCATCCATCATAAAATGGGTCTAAAATGCTGGTATCTCTTTACTTTTCCCATTGAGTCTGCAGGTTTTTGTCTGAATTTGGATTGTTTCAGTTGTGAGCTGGAAAGCAGCACATTTACTCCATATTTTTGATAAATCTGCACTATTTCTTTCAGAGAACAAAGACTATGATGCATATCTGTCTTACACCAAAGTGGACCCTGATCAGTGGAGTCAAGAGACCAGGGAGGAGGAGCGTTTCGCCCTGGAGATCCTTCCTGATGTGTTGGAAAAACATTACGGCTACAAACTCTTCATTCCAGATCGAGACCTCATTCCAACAGGAAGTAAGAACCATGTATTTGTGCGTGTGTGTGTGCGTGTGTTCACATGCCTTTTTTACATTTAAAAGGCTGGAAACACTTTTATGTTTGTCCTCAGTGTCATTCTCCACTGTTGCTGTCTGATGTTTTTTGTAAATCCAAATAGAAAATTAGTTTATGACAACTTATGGCATTTAGCCACAATATGACTTTTTGTTTGTTTGTTTGTTTGTTTGTTTGTTTGTTTGTTTGTTTGTTTTATTAATTCTACTAAAAAAGCCCGTATTTAAAATCCCATTTGCTGATGAATGTTAGATTCACCAGTAGCAGATCATCAACGGAAAACATTAAAATAGTATATGGAGATCTACGGTAAAACAGAAAAGTATTAGATGTAGGGCAGCACGATATTAGGAAAACCTGCTACATGCAATAGCAGTGATTATTACTGAGATGACGATATTACTTGCGATAAATGAAAACTTAACTCAGGAATAAAAATGATCAAAAACAAAGACAAAAAAAGACTAAAAAATCATAAAAAATGAGAAAAGCAAAATATGTGAGGAATGGGAAAAATTGAACAAGGAAAGGCAATCAGTGGATCCTGGGAAAAGCAGAATCGGCAGAACAAAGCTAACTCAGGGGTTTTGTTTGCCAACCATCAAAATTAATTATTAATTAACTACCTCAGGGCGGGCATCGAACCTATGAGAACCCACCCAATTAGCCAAATGGGTGAAGAGCTCTATTTGATTTGTTAAAAAACATCATGCTTCTGTTTGATTGACAGAATGCATGATGTGTAGCAAACATTTGCACCGACCATTCATTGCGATATTGATCTGTTTTTGCAATATGCACATAGTGCATGCTGATATCACGATAACGGTATTTTTGTGCTATATTGTGCAGCCCTATTTAGATGTTATAGACATATGGATGTTTAGTTTTTTTTTTATATCAAATAAGCCTTTAACCTTAACTGGCAATAATAATAATAACAACAACAACAACAATAATAATAATAATAATAATAATAATAATAATAATAAAATCATTGAACATATTTAAAGCCTAAGTTTACCTTGAAATAATTTGGTTAAATTTAGACCACAATAAGCCCAAGCAATTTAGTCCTACGTGAAATACATTAAAGGTCATAATAAATGCCAGAGCATGCCAGTTGATTCAAGTTCTGATCATCAAAAGACTTTTTTAACCACCTCTCAGATGCTGCAAAAAACACAATCACTTTGTTCATTTAATCAGAAGTCCAAAACAAAGTTAATTTTAAATTTCAATAGCAAAATAAAGCATTAAACATGTGTTAATCTTAACTTGTCAAAGAAACAGTGACTTCAACATGCTTCACTATGAAAAGAAGCTGCTGCTTCATAAAACTAGAGTGTTGAATTTGTTTTTCTCCCGTTTAGTATTCACTCTTGTTCGGAGCTTCCGAGTGCTGCCATGAATGTTCCAGTTACAGTTGTACGATTAGCTCCTGACTGACAGCTCTTACATAACTCAAACCAAAGAATTGCTCACTGGGAACATAACGTCCACTTGTTGCTTTACCGTTTATCAAGCCCAGATCACACTGTGCTGTTCGGTCGTCCTAGACAAATCTCTCGTAAGGGTGATTTGTAGGTCTGTGGCTGTCCAGTGTGACCAGTCCAGCAGCAGCTTATTGAGCACCCTCACAACCAAATTCACTCTCCAATAATCATCAAGCAGTGTCAGAAAACCTATGTCTCCAGTCTGCAAAAATACTGTGATGAGAACAAAATGGAAGAGTAGCATTAGCAACATTGGGAATGGTGGAGGCTACACCTAAAAACATGTGGACCACTCCTTTTTGGAGTTTGGTTCAGAGTCTAATAAAAGAAGTATCAACAGTGGTGCTTCATTATCTTTTCTTCTTTGTCTTGGGTTTCTATCAGCTTTAAACAACGTACTTTTCAGCAACTATGCTTGTGACATTAGCGTGTCTTGCTAGAGCAAGACATTGTGCAGTGTGCCATCTTTCCAGAGTTCTTAGCAGCCACATTTACATGCACAAAATTTCCCCAATCCGATTAAATGTGTGCATGTAAACGTGGCTAATCGTGTCCTTTGTGACACCTGAAAAATGCCCAGTACGTACCGGGCTTAACAGATGGTTGTTAGTGGCGGTCATAGGTCAGTTAGTCAGTACATTGAAACCTTTCCATTAGCACCAGTAGATTTGTCCCCAACACTTTGATTATGTGCAGCAGTAAACCTTGGTCCCTCTGACTTTGATGCTAATTTTTAAGTTTGTCTTTATTGTAAGTCAGGAACATTCAATTCAATTCGTGTTTATTTTTATAGCGCAAAATCACAACAAGAGTCATCTCAAGGCACTTCACACAGTAAACACTCCAATACAGTTCAAGTCATTAAGTCAATCAGTAAAAAGTTTCCTATTCAAGGAACCCAGCAAATGGCATCGAGTCACTGACTAGTGTCAGTGACTTTACAGCAACCCTCATACTAAGCAAAATCTTCATATAGCCGTTAGCTGTTATAGAATAGAATAGAATAGAATAGAATAGAATAGAATAGAATAGAATAGAATAGAATAGAATAGAATAGAATAGAATAGAATAGAATAGAATAGAATAGAATACTGTGGGGAAATCCACTCATCACAGCATCACACACACTTATAGGTAAAAACACAAAGGCACCTTCAAGCACTAAACACGATGAATGAAAAGGAAACTTGGGTTTCCAGAAATAGGCAGCATAAGGGACACAGACATACTAATGTCCCTCTGGAATTGCACAAGTATTGAACACGTACTTAATATTGCATTTCACTGATGTTATTGTGTAACAAGATTATGCCAGTACCAGTTAAACCGAGGAGTTTTACACTCTTACTGCAGAGGGGATGAATGACCTATCATAGCGTTCTGTTTTTCATCTAGGATGTCTCAGTCTACCACTGAAGGAGCTAATTGGAGTTGTTCAAATTTCACTTTCTCTGATTGTTTTATGCATCATTGTAAGATACAGGATTCTCCCCCTGAACCAGGTGGATTTGTTCAGTCTGTGGTCATAAACCTTTTGCTGACTGGTGTATTCATAGAGCAAAAACAGGAAAAATGTAAGGTGTCGACAAGAATCCTCTCTATGTTTCCACTCAGACCTCTTCAGATAGAAGTTTTGAGCTTTGCTTGCTGGCTGTACCCTAACTGGGTACCACAGATGAGGAAACAAGAGTATACACTGTGTACTGGGAGGTGATAGATTGAACAAATTCTACCGTCCTCTCCAGTTTTCATCCATGCATTAATAAATCCATGAAAATTCTATCAGAACACATCCTCATGTGAGCTAACTCATGCCAGCAGTACACAGTGTGCTCTACTTTGTAGCGCTGTTGCGTGTTTGTACTGTAGGCTTCACGCGGAACAGATAAAACGCAAACACGTCCTACTTGGTCCAGACAGAATTAAACATCAGTGAATAATATGCGAAGGCTCTGAGCCCCGTTGACTGAGGCGCTCCTTTCCTTTAATCAAAAGAAAATTGCCGCCAGCATCAGTGCCAAGCGGAATCATTGCAGATGAATGTCCAATCAGGGAAAACATGATATGTGATTAATTATATGTGAAATAAAAAAGATGAGCAAGTGCTCTGCTACTTTTGCTGCAGTGGTGTGTGTCTGTCTGTCTGATGTGTACTGCCTGTGACCTGAATGTTTAAAATGTTTATGTTTAGGTCTCACCAATGAGCATTACCAGGATGACACACGACTCTTTGGAGGTACTCACCCTCTCAGTATTTTCCTTTTGCATCTAGCTGCTTTTATCTACCTGCTTGCTAGGACGTTGCAAAGTGATGCTCTATAAATCTTTACTGCCAAGTCTAAACCATGTGCATCTTCTAATCTGAAACATAACATAATAATTTACACCAGACTAGCTAGATAAGATGCACGAACATTTTCAGATTTGTGTGAGAAGTCTTAAATTTTCTGTATACAGAATAAATACAAAGAAATTAGACCGTGTCATTGTCCCGTCTTTTGTGGATTGAGTGGTATGTTTATCAGTCATTACGTGTTGTGTTTGGAATCATAAGACCGCATCAAATGCTTGTTAAGTAAATGTGTGTCTCTCATAACTGTCTGTCCTTACTTCCTGTTTCCTGCAGCCTACATCGAAGATGTTGCCCGATGTGTAGACCAGAGCAAACGCCTCATTATCGTCATGACGCCCAACTATGTAGTTCGACGAGGCTGGAGCATCTTTGAGCTGGAGACACGACTGCGCAACATGCTGGTGACGGGTGAGATCAAGGTCATCCTGATTGAATGCGCCGAGCTGCGTGGCATCATGAACTACCAGGAGGTGGAGGCCCTCAAACACACCATCAAAACCCTCACTGTCATCAAGTGGCGGGGCCCCAACAGCAACAAGCTCAACTCCAAGTTCTGGAAGCAGCTGCAGTACGAGATGCCCATCAGGTGCACAGAGCCCATGCTCACACACGAGCCTGCACTGGACGTCAGCGAGCAGGGGCCGTTCGGAGAGCTGCAGGCCGTCTCTGCAATCTCCATGGCGGCAGCCACCTCCACAGCCATGGCCACGGCCCATCCAGAGCTGCGTTCGTCCTTCCACAATACCTACCACACCACCATGAGGCAGAAACACTACTACCGCAGCTACGAGTATGACATTCCCCCAGGGGGCACCCTGCCACCTCTGTCATCTCTGGGGAACCAGCACACCTACTGCAACATCCCACTGACGCTGCTGAATGGGCAGAGGCCTCCCGGAAAGAGCCGAGAACACAGCCTGGAGGAGCCTCACGCTAACAATGCCATGCTCCCTCTGCTGCCAAGAGAAACCAGCATCTCCAGCGTCATCTGGTAGTAAAAAGCTAACTCGGTGGCAGCATTCAGTAGACGAGTCAGTTTCTGTTCTGACTCGTAAGACAAAAGTTCAAGGCGATAGGGGATCTGGACCTTTTTGGCTCCAGTAAACGGACAACCGGGACTGGAGTAGCAAGACATTTGTGGAACACTTTCTCTTTCTAGTAAACTCTTTTCCAGAGGCCGTTTTCTATGTTGTACTAAAGGGAACTTAATGAAAACATGGTTTTAATGGCCGACAAGAAAAAGACTCCTGGGAACTTCAAACACACTATGGAAATTGCACACACATGCAGACACACACAAAGGAAAATGTGCATACACACAAATAAAAGGAAAACAGGGTTTGTACATATATCTACATTTTATTAGTAGCATCAGTGTTTTCCTGTTTTGTTTCTTTCGTCTGTTTGATTCAATCATGTCCGTTGCCTTCTCTACTGTAGGACTTTGCTTTAACTTGTTATAAAGAGTTGTATATTTTTAATTGTTTTATCTTTTTCAGTTTGTTTGGATCCTTATTTTTTAAATGCTTGATCGGAGAGCTGGAATGTCACGTACTTGCCCTGTTGTGTTCTCTTTTGTTTTCTTTCAAACTCATTGTGTAGTATTAAGAGAACTTCATTTTCTTTTATTTTTCAAGAAGAAAAATACCTTTTTCAAGCAGCCTGAACATTTCAGGAGATGTGAAGAGCTGAAACTTTTGTTTACCTGTGAAAGGTGTATCTATTTAAAATAAAAAAAGACACTCTCTTTAAAAAAAATCATGGAATATGCAAAAAGAAGGAGGAGCTGGCAAAAAAATCTACCATACGTGTGGGACCGAGGAGGAGGCTGGGGAGCAGTGCAAAGTCCCCTCCAATCAGACAGACTGGCAGATCTCTCTAAAGCTTCATCTTTTTCTAATAAAACAAACAGTTTTAGAGTGATAGTGAAATGCCTCACCTTAGAAAAGAAATCTGTAGATTATTTTAAAAAGAATTCTATTTTTGTAACAGAAAAGAGTTTACTTGAGAGATCCTACTTATTTGCATTTCATCTTCCACAGAACGAGGACTTGTGTTTAAGTGTTACTCTGGTTTTGTACACTTGCAACGTGTGGCTAATGGTTTGTGAAGAGGTGAAGCTGGTTTCTTTTTGACTTCCTCCCCACATGAAAAATACATCCTCTACTGTTCCCAATTCAAGGAGAACTTTGGTTTTTAAAGTGTCATTTTATTCCCATTTCTTTGGTTCATAAGGATAAGGAAAGAAAAGAAAACATTTGTGTTTTTGAAAGACTTTTTAAATATATTTGAAGGTGTGATTTTTAAGTATGCATAGCATATAGATATGTATTCTATATATAATATAGATATTTATATAAATATATAAACACGATTTTCACTCCGAAAGAAATGTCTATCTTTATAGAAACACAATCATTATCAGTTGCCCTTACCTTCTCACTGCACATTAAAAGCATTGATTTCCTTTGGACTGGTTCCTTTTGTGTCCTGGTTTAACCATTTGTTGTCAATAATTCATAACCCTTCTGAATCACTCCAACAGGCAGATTAATCACTCATCAGTTTGAATGATTTAGTTGGCTTCAATGGATTTGGATCATTGATGCTGCAAGAGGGTTTAGTAAAATGTACTGTTTATCATCTACAAATGTAAGATTCAACTTTAATTGAATTGTGTGTGTATATATATATATATATATATATATATATATATATATATATATATATATACACCCCAAAAAATATATATATATATATACAGTGGGGCAAAATAGTATTTAGTCAGCCACCGATTGTGCAAGTTCTCCCATTTAAAATGATGACAGAGGTCACCAATTTACATCATAGGTACACTTCAACTGTGAGAGACAGAATGTGAAAATAAAATCCATGAATTCACATGGCAGGATTTTTAAAGAATTTATTTGTAAATCAGGGTGGAAAATAAGTATTTGGTCAATAACAAAAAATCAACTCAATACTTTGTAACATAACCTTTGTTGGCAATAGCAGAGGTCAAACGATTACTATAGGTCTTTACCAGGTTGGCACACACAGTAGCTGGTATTTTGGCCCATTCCTCCATGCAGATCTTCTCGAGAGCAGTGATTTTTTGGGGCTGTCGCCGAGCAACACGGACTTTCAATTCCCTCCACAGATTTTCTATGGGGTTGAGGTCTGGAGACTGGCTAGGCCACTCCAGGACTTTCAAATGCTTCTTACGGAGCCACTCCTTTGTTGCCCGGGCGGTGTGTTTGGGATCATTGTCGTGTTGGAAGACCCAGCCACGTTTCATCTTCAAAGCTCTCACTGATGGAAGGAGGTTTTGGCTCAGAATCTCACAATACATGGCCCCATTCATTCTGTCCTTAACACGGATCAGTCGTCCTGTCCCCTTAGCAGAAAAACAGCCCCAAAGCATGATGTTCCCACCCCCATGCTTCACAGTAGTTATGGTGTTCTTGGGATGCAACTCAGTTTTCTTCTTCCTCCAAACACGACGAGTTGAGTTTATACCAAAAAGTTCTACTTTGGTTTCAACTGACCACATGACATTCTCCCAATCCTCTGCTGTATCATCCATGTGCTCTCTGGCAAACTTCAGACGGGCCTGGACATGCACTGGCTTCAGCAGCGGAACACATCTGGCACTGCAGGATTTGATTCCCTGCCGTTGTAGTGTGTTACTGATGGTGACCTTTGTTACTGTGGTCCCAGCTCTCTGCAGGTCATTCACCAGGTCCCCCCGTGTGGTTCTGGGATTCTTGCTCACCGTTCTCATGATCATTTTGACCCCACGGGATGAGATCTTGCGTGGAGCCCCAGATCGAGGGAGATTATCAGTGGTCTTGTATGTCTTCCATTTTCTGATAATTGCTCCCACAGTTGATTTTTTCACACCAAGCTGCTTGCCTATTGTAGATTCACTCTTTCCAGTCTTGTGCAGGTCTACAATTCTTTTCCTGGTGTCCTTTGAACGCTCTTTGGTCTTGGCCATAGTGGAGTTTGGAGTCTGACTGTTTGAGGCTGTGGACAGGTGTCTTTTATACAGATAATGAGTTCATACAGGTGCCATTAATACAGGTAACGAGTGGAGGACAGAACAGCTTCTTAAGGAAGACGTTACAGGTCTGTGAGAGCCAGAGATTTTCCTTGTTTGAAGTGACCAAATACTTATTTTCCACCCTGATTTACAAATAAATTCTTTAAAAATCCTGCCATGTGAATTCATGGATTTTTTTTTTCAAATTCTGTCTCTCACAGTTGAAGTGTACCTATGATGTAAATTACTGACCTCTGTCATCATTTTAAGTGGGAGAACTTGCACAATCGGTGGCTGACTAAATACTTTTTTGCCCCACTGTAGATAAAATCGTAATCTCTGTTGGTGGCTTCTGAAACTACCTGTTTTCAGAGAAATCATCATCATTATCTGTTACAAAAAAGGGCTCTACAGATCATTCATAACACTGGTTACTGAGATCATACAACTCATTCTTTTTAAAATCACAAATCTTAAAATTTCCAAAGATAGTTCAGTTTAAAACAGCAACGCTAATGCATAAAGTAAACAATAAACTACTTTCAGACAACATGTTAAAACTGTTTCATAAAAGGGAGGGGAGGTATCTGTTAAGAGGGGAGTTAAAATTCAAACATGCTCGAGTCCGAACAACATTAAAAACTTTCAGTGTGTCTGTGTGCGGTGTGAAACTGTGGAAAAGAATGAGTGATGAATTGAAGCAATGTCCAAACGTGATGCTGTTTAAAAAAAAGGCTTCAACTCATAATGTTTACCAAATACAAGGAAGAAGGTCCAAAAGTGTGTCCCTAAACACAAAATGTTTGTATTTATGACATGATCTTGATAAACCACATGCCATTTGTGTGAATATGTTGCAAAGTAATTTGCAAAACAACTACCAGACAACATTAAATAACTATTAGTTATTTGATGTCGAGAAAGGAGTGGGATTAAATAAACTGTTGCTTCTTCCAACTCCCTTTTGAACATGTGTATAAAAAAATAAATAAATAAATAAAAACCAGAAGGAGAAGTTACTTATGTTGTGTGTATGTACGCATGTTCAAAATAAAGACAAAGACAAATTGTCTTTACATCCTATAGGATTGATACGCTAACTGGTAGTCAGAGCTCAGTAAATGGTAAATGGCTTGTATTTGATATAGCGCCTTCTAGAGTCCTGGAACCCCCCCCCCCCCAAGGCGCTTTACAACACAATCAGTCATTCACCCATTCACACACACATTCACACGCTGGTGGGGATGAGCTACAATGTAGCCACAGCTGCCCTGGGGCGCACTGACAGAGGCGAGGCTGCCGAGCACTGGCGCCACCGGTCCCTCCGACCACCACCAGCAGGCAATGTGGGTTAAGTGTCTTGCCCAAGGACACAACAACAGCGACAGACTGAGTGGGGCTCAAACCTGCAACCTTCTGATTACGGGACGAGCACTTAACTCCTGTGCCACTGTCGCCCCATTCAGTGAAATAATTGAAGCTGCAAATCAGCAAATGACCTAGCTTTTAAACGCAAACATGGTTATTGAACTCTAACGTGTCATATTGGCTGTTATCACTGGGCCACATCCGCTTGAACCAGAACCGACATTGCCAGAGGAAGTGAGAGAGCGTTAAATACCAGTTGCTGTTTTCTAGGTTCTACCATCTTTTGCTGTCCGTGTCTTCAAATGGTGTTTTTCTTTTTGGGACTCTGGTAGTTTGTCCTAAACTTGAAGTGATAGCAGCCGGTGGGGGTTGGGGGATAACATTTTGCCTCTGTGAGCTTACCAAGAGAGCCAGGGAAGCAGGATGATTCTTCAGCATGAGATATTGGAGGTGTGGCATGAGAGCATGTGAAGATGGTCAAACGCACGTGTCCCACGCTCATTGCGGGAGAATTGGCCACCCTGCGGATGGTCCAATCAGTCCTTTCAGTCTCAGCTGTGTTATAGAGCTCCGGACCCGACGTGACTCTCAGTTAATAGACGCCATATTGGCAGGAAAAGAAGCTAAACAAACGGATCGTAAAAATGAACGGGATCGGCTTGTATTTTACTTTGTCGGAGTTTACTTCACACTTTAAAACCAAAGAAATCGTTTTATATAGTTAAATAGACTAAACATCTCCGACCCTTACCATGCCCCTGGGATACTTTTTAAAAACGCCAGAAGCTGTCGGAGCGGACTTCTTACCGGACCTGGGATTTCCCCGGAGGAGTTGGCCCAGGTAGCTGGGGAGAGGGAGGTCTGGGCCTCGACGCTACTGCCCCCATAACCCGACTCCAGATAAGCGGATGAAAATGGATGGATGGACAAATAACAGATTTACACGTAAGTAGTTTAAATAGAGTGCTGTGCTGTTTGAATGTATAAACTGAACCCCAAGAGAAATCACTAGTCTGATTTTTTTCCGTTAATAAAATAAATATGTCAGGCAGGAGCGTCTCAGGATCTGTCTGAGATCTGTCTCGGTGAGACAGATAATAGCAATCCAAAGTGCTTTTTATGTGTGATCTGACAATTGATCGACCGTTGCTTAAAAATTAAATACAGCTTAGCCGGTTAATTGCTGTGATCATAAAACACGTAAACGGCAGCACGCAGAAATCACGAGGCAACGTTTTACGTGATGTTTACTTGTTGCTATGAGTAATAAGACAGAAAAAGCCACACCAAAATAAGTTTAGGAAGCCCACTAAGGATCGTAATAAAAGCATTTAAAATAAACACCATACACAGTTGAGGAAACGTTGGTTTAAGTACCTGATATGAAGTGGTCGCTACATAAGTGAAAACCTTTACTCTCGAGATCCCACAGCTTCATTTTATCCGGTCACTAGTGCGTTTTAATACAATGATCCAACATTTGCGGTGCTCCGGATCTTGGGGAATCCTGTAGATCGCTCATTCCTTATGCCGTCTGTGTCTGTTCTGCATCCTGGGGCACAACAGGAATCTACCATATTTCCCGTTTGATTGAGTTTTCTGATAATAACAAATAGTCCAGCTGCGGGCTTCTGCATGCCAATATGGCGCTGTTTCGATTTGAACTGTTGCATGCCGGGAGAAGTGACGTCAACTCCCGGAGCTCTATTGGTGGAGTTTTTCAGGTAAATGTGAGAAAAGCACTTTTTTATTTGTTTTTGTTTTTGTTTTTGGTAACACTTTAAAATAAGGGTACCTTTATTAAAGTTACTTAATACATTATTAAGCATTAATAAACTTCAATAAAGCATTAACAACTGTTTAATATTAATGTGGCCTAGAAAGATGATGTCTTGCTAGGCTAGGCCAAAGTTAGATTTCTTACATGTCAATTTTGTATAATGAGCCTTTTACTTTTTAAATTCTGCACATATTGGTTAAATATGTAAGCGAGTTATTACCTGCTAGCCACCGAAGCTGCAACTACAAAGCAACTAACCAATCATAGCTAAT